TAAACATGTAAATAAATGTACTTAAATTTTCATATCTGGATACACACACACGCGCGCAAACACACACACACACATATATATTAAATTTTTTGTACGTATACATATTTCTAGATACGTATTGATCAAACATAATATACATATGCATAAATACATACATATATATGTATATACATACATACACGCACACACACACACACATACACACATATATATAAACATAGATATAACTTATATAATTATAAATAAATATACATACATACATACATACATACACACATGCATGCAAACGTACGTAAATACATACAAATACATATATAAATATATACGTAAATATATACATAATATATATTTATAATCTATCCGCTCATCTGCACTTTCATATGCCTAGATACGAATCAGATGTGTTCATATTATACAATAAATCTGATCTTGAAGGAGTGTGTGAAGAAGGATAAGCATATAATCAAACAATACCTCGATGATTTGGTGTAGCAATTCCGCCGTGCCACAGTTGCACGCAATTCTGTAGAGACCTTCACGATAGCTGGCATAGTTCGCGCAACCGTTGATATAGACGCACACTTAGAATCGCACGGAACAGTTGCCAAAATGTATTGTATTCTCTTTGCGATCGCCCCCAAGTTACTTGAGCTCAATACACTCATACTGAAAGTAGAACCATCTCTCGCTCTCCGGTAGTCACTGTTTGCAATCTTAAGCTGGTACTTGGTATTTGAGCGTGTTTCTAAATGGGGAACAAAATTCAAAGGTAGTACTGAACTGTGGTGAAGTCTGCCAGGCACAGAGAACGTAGAGATATGTGACGATTAGTCTAGTTGCTATTATAGGTTCGCGGTCTCATATTAAGAGCAAAGCCTTCTATATTCATATTATAAGTATAAATAAAGATGTATATATGCGCCGAAAGATATCTCATTCGGTTGGTGGTTAGGTGGTACCCGACACATAATATATAAGGTGTACACTTGCTGTAATCTGTATGTACTCTGTACGACAGTGTACGTCCGACTCTTCGACGCGTAACGCGTTGCTGACCAATAAATAAGTCCTGCGAGAAACCACCCCCTCACCTGGTCGCCCCCCGTGGCCCCGCCCCCGGCCAACAGCCTCCCTCACCAAAAAAGGGAATCTGGACTCAGGGCCTGTTTAGTCCTATTTATTGAAATACACTGACTTTGAAGAGACAGCCACACTGGCACACTCTAAAAGATGACACAAACCAAAAAAATTATTATAAAAACAAAAAATTGTCTGTAAAAAGGGGCAATAAAAAAAAAGCATAAATAGCCCTCTAAATGATAAAAAAAAGGCTTGTATTTTGTTGAAAAAAATGTTCAAAGCTTCCGTGAGCTAAAATCATAGCCAAAGCCTCCTAAATAGATATAGCCGTGCCTATATTCATAGCATGTCAATAACCTACAACACTGTGTTCCGATGATTCTGCCACCTCTGTTGGTGAACACGCGACTAATTTAAGACGGCGTATTTTCTCAACTCTCACCTTTAAGTAATATATTGCCACGCCTCTAAGGAATGAATTCGGTGGGTATAGGTATTTCACGATGCAGACGGTTCGCCCATTGCGCGGCATACTCCAGTACAAGCGATACACTTTGCTACTATGTTACTTCTGTTTCACACTTCTTAATGTGACTGGTGATGTAAATGGTGTGTGTGCAACAACAGCAAACAGTGCCTCACCTATTACAGATATCGACACACAGATACAGACACCAGCCAAACAGTCGACCAACTCGGAAGAGTTTGGTAAGGAAATACAGAACATGAATAGTACGCTGCAGGCCATAGGCACCTATGGATTTGATATAGCGGACCAGGAAACTTTTGTAGCCTTATTCAGTCGTTATGGTAACGATTCCTACGAGGATGAATCAGTCTACAATCAGGAGATGGCCTACACCGACTTAGTTGCGTATCAGAACGATCTGTATCATGAGACAATGATTGCCAGCTTAGAGTATCAATCACGCCAGAATGAAACTGAAAATAACCGCATATTAGAGATTCTGAGTATGTTTTCGCTAAGTACATTGAGGCAGGGAGATGAATACTGGGGCGAAGTGAATGGCGAGCCCGAATTCTTTTTATCCAGTCTCAGTGTGCTGGTTGCCATGCGGGAATGTATACTCCTATTTGCACCCATCATGCTACCTTCGGTATGTATCCATATGCGTGCACAGAGTATTGTAGATATGTGAGGCAACCGTGAGTGTGCCGAATTCATTGCAATTATGTATATGTATCGTAAGTTTCGCATTGGGTAAGAAGACGGCACCTATATATCTACCAAATATTATTGATACAGTTCTACAGAGTATATACCGATGGATAAACATATGTCGATGTACACTTAGGAGTGTACATATAAAAGTACACAAACACACACACACACACACACACACACACACACACACACACACACACACAC